ACCGGGGGTGCCAGCCAGCAGCGAGCTCCCCTCTGCCGCGCACCCAGCCCCAGCTCGCTCCAGCAGCACACAAACCATCAGCTCAGGCACATCCACTGAGAAACACACCAGGAAAATTAAGATATGGCCTTTTCTTAAGGTTGCCTGACATGGTTGGCACACTTCCTTACAGTCTCCTTACTGCTGGAAAAACTTCTGCACAGATTTTTTTTTTTTCTTTTTTAAATATATACATATACATATATATACGTGTGTGTGCATATGTATATGCATATATGTATATATATACACACACACACCCTGGGCTTAGCAGTATTTCATTGTCATGCACTACAAACGGTGAGGTGTAGCTACATGAGATGGTAACAGGTTTCCATTCTAAAAATCATCAGTGCAAAAAACAATGAGGTTTTACAGTTCAGTAACTACAGGTAAAAGAAGCGAGTCTAATTCCCATGAAAGCTGCTACTGAACTTGGAGAGAACCTGGGAAGAAGAAAACGTCTCAGAGGTGGGTGTTGAGAGAGTCAGACCCTGCATTTGGATGAGAACTGCAATGCAATCTAGCTGCTGAGTGCCTTCAGCTGCTTCCAAATATATGGTGGTTACTTTTGCAAATAATATGTAGCAAGAATATTTGGGGACTTTAACAGCAAATTAAGTGTCTGAGGTTTGTAACAGCTCAAACAAAATAACTTGTATTCCTCTTTTAATAGGTCAACGCATTAAATTCCATCGGCTTCTAAAAGGTCTCTTTAAAAATAACAGTAATAACAATAACGACCCCACTTTCTTGGGCGTGAATCTGCCGACATTCTGCCTCTACCAACAGCATCGATATGTCTTTATGCTTTGCCACTGCACGTACTCCTTGAGAAAGTGGCTGAACTTGAAGCTCTTTGTACAGGTAAAGCTCTCGGTTGCTCTGCCTGCCACAGCCCACGATAAATCCCTCGCGTGGGGCTGTTTGTGCCAGCGAAACAGCATGCTTATCGAACCCCAAACCCACCCCGTGCCGGCATCGGCAGAGCACCTCCGTCTGACTCCTGGGACAACCAAGAACAAGTTCCCCCAGCCTCATCTCCTGTTCCTGTGGCTCTGAGGACAGCACTCGGTCACGCGTATCGGAGTGATGGCTAACAAGGCGAGGAGGCACGTATTTACAGTCACTAAACCTGGATAAGAGAAGGAGG